TGGGTGCGTACTGCAGTGATATACAGTGCTCTGACCAAAGAAATAGTGAGTTTAGGTGGGCTCCCCTCTTCCCACAAAAAAAAACTTTCAGATCCGGGCCTGGATATAAACATAAGGGCAATTTGAGGCAAGGGGTTGACGGGTGGCAACTCAGTGACTGCCCCCAATTACATCATAATGGTTTTGATACGTTTTTTATGTTTAAAATTGAAGATCTTTTAACAGGTTTCTTATAAAGTGGAGGGGAGCTGTTTATATTGTTCTTTATATTAATGATATTGAATATATAAATAAATTAGCCGGCGTGTATAAAATATTAACTTGTAGAATTATTTATGCTGATTCCATGCACATCGGACAGATCATTAATAAATTCCGAGCTCATATTTGTTTCTAGAAATATAGAAAACTTTTTAAAGGGACTGAGGCCGGATTTTATGAGTTGTTAGAAATCGTTGAACTACCTAATCCTCAATCACCAATTCTAAGCTAGAGTAACCCTGGAACAATATGTAATTTTAATAAAAAAATTACCAAGACCCAGCCAAACTTGTTCATTTAAACTAGAACAAAAAATTCTAAATTTTGTCAGCGCAAGCAAGTTAAAAAAACATAAATTACTATTTATTCAAAACATGTCGATATGGATATATAAATATATAAAATTGCCCCTTGAACCACTGAATTTTGCCCATTTGTTGATTTTTTTAAATTTTTAAATGGTTTAATTTATAGGGTTAAAAACTAGTTTTTTGAGGACTTGGACAAATTTCCACTGAAAAGTCTGTTAATTGTCTATAACTTGTTCAGTTTTTAACAGATTTTTATAATTTTAACATTTCAGTGTTTTATGACGTTACCCATATCGACATAATTGGAGGAAAAAATAATTACAGAAACTTTTAAGACACGTGCTGAATGGATCTGAACAGTTTAAGACACGTGCTGAATGGATCTGAACAGTTTAAGACACGTGCTGAATGGATCTGAACAGTTTTATAAAAATGTGCCAAATTGTCCCACACTTTTGTTCATGAGGATTCAGGTAATTAATTGGAGAGTGAATCGGTGATTCAGGATTTGAACCGTCGGTATAAGTAGTTCAGCTACCTTTTCAGCTTATTGGCGTCATTTTAAGAGATCCTACATTTTTTGGCTCAGTAACATTTTGTCTAATTCATTTTAGTCTTAGTAACATTTTTCTACGTTCAATTTTGTTAACTTTTCTTGGTCTAAAGTACATTTGGTCTAAATAACATTATGTCTAAAGTAACTTTTGGTCTGGTAACATTTGGTCTAAAGTAACATTTAGTCTACAGTAACATTTGGTCTGGTAACATTTGGTCTAGTAACATTTGGTCTAAAGTAACATTTAGTCTGCAGTAACATTTGGTCTGGTAACATTTGGTCTAAAGTAACATTTAGTCTGCAGTAACATTTGGTAGTCTGCAGTAACATTTGGTCTGGTAACATTTGGTCTAAAGTAACATTTAGTCTGCAGTAACATTTGGTCTGGTAACATTTGGTCTAAAGTAACATTTAGTCTGCAGTAACATTTGGTCTGGTAACATTTGGTCTAGTAACATTTGATCTAGTAACATTTGATCTAGTAACATTTAGTTTAAAGTAACATTTGATCTAAAGTAACATTTAGTCTGAAGGTACTTTTCACTCAGTCAAGGGAGTATTAAGAAATAAATATGCACTAAGAAGAATTTTTTTGCCCCCTTAGAAGCTCCTAGGGGGGGGGGAATTGTAAACTCAAAACAAGGTACACATACAGTCCAATTACCTTACAAGGACTACTTTATCTCTCATTTAAACAAAACTAGAAGAAAAAAACAGTAAACTAATTTTTTTAATGTTCTTCACTCTTCAGTCTCAGATTTGAAAAGTGTGATGGGTCTTAGTTATAGGAGGGTTAAGACGATTAATGGGCCGAGTGCTGCGGCCTTTTTAATGTTAAATAATATGCTGTCTCTACTTTAGACATAATGTTACTTTAGACGAAATGTTACTTTAGACGAAATGTTACTTTAAACGAAATGTTACTTTAGACAAAATGTTACTTTAACCGAAATGTTACTTTAAACAAAATTTTACTTTACACCAAAAGTTACATTATACATAATTTGTTACTTTAGACAAAATGATATTTAGACCTAGTGTTACTTTAGACTATGCCTTATTCTTAGACAAAAAGTTATTAAACTAAAATAAATTAAACAAAATGTTACTGATACCATTTTTTGGATTAAATAAACCAAAAATTCTTAGTTTTTATAAAAGAAAACACATTGAATTAAGTTGTTCGTATATATCTAGTTTTATAAGTTTGAACTTTTGTGTGGAATATCTTTCATTTTCAACGCTTGATCTCGATATACCATGTGAGCAATAATAAATGTGAAGATGTGGTCTCTGTCTGGTATGGCTGGACCCTGTCTGGTATCCCTGGACCCTGTCTGGTATCCCTGGACCCTGTATGGTATCCCTGGACCCTGTCTGGTATCCCTGGACCCTGTCTGGTATCCCTGGACCCTGGCTGGTATCCCTGGACCATGTCTGGTATCCTTGGACCTGTACGGTATGCCCAACAATGGTTATAGAAGAGGAACTAAGTTGATTTATGGTTCTGCATGAGATGAAGATCAAGGCATGAAATTTGATAGAAAAAAGTCTGAAGTTAGTTGACTTTTTATTTACATTTTGATATTCCTGTTTTGATTTCTATTTAACTATTGTATAAAGAGGAGCAGTGCCTTGACATGGCGCTGGTTTTTCAGTCGCATTGCAGAGAGAGATTAATGATTATAGTATGTTAAATATATACATCTAGTGAATATTATAATATACATATATATTATGTAGATATATAGATTTTTCCACAACGTAAAGAAATTATAGGTTGGTTGGTTATTATTATGCAGTGCAGGCCCATTTCACTATACAATTTGATTTTTTAATTACTGCATGCCAAACTGAAGTAAATTGTAGGTATTATTTTAATAATAAATGTTTTTAATAATAACTCCTCTTGTTACAGATCTATTGAGAAGAACTAAAATGTAAATTATAACTAGAGAAGCTACGAGGTCACAAATCATGTGTAATAAGATCGCATAAATATCATAAATTTGTCTAGAGTTTTATATAAGTCCCATTGCAGATCACGATTCAAGGACAATGAGTCTATTGTTCGATATTTCTGAATATTTTTCAATGTTTATTAATACATAGTTTAAACTTCAAACTTGTTATTAATCATTGAAGAAGAAAACTCTGCAGTATTTTCTTCAGGTTTAGAATCCATCCCAGACAATAGGGTTGTAAGTGGTGTATTCATCTATACACTATCCATTCATCAATCCTTCCTTCATTAATCCTTTTATCATAACAATATTCATATAATCTATATTTAATACTTTTCTCTACTCCTGATCAACCTTTAAATATTTTTACATCGTAAACCTTTTAATAATATTGACAGATAAATAGTTGACAAAAATCATAATTTGTTAATTTGAACATCCATTTGTCTAGATGTCTAACTGTCTAGCTGCGTCGTTGTCTAATTGTCTGATTGTTTAGCTGCTTTGTTGTCTATATGTCTAGTTATCTAGTTGTCTAGATGTCTAGTTATCTAGATGTCTAGTTGTCTAGGTTTCTAGATGTCTAGTTGTCTAGATGTCTAGTTATCTACCTGTCTAGATGTCTATTTGTCTAGATGTGTAGTTATCTAGATGTCTAATTGTCTAACTATCTAGTTGTCTAACTATCTAGTTGGCTAACTATCTAGTTGTATAACTATTTAGTTGTATAACTATTTAGTTGTCTAAATATCTAGTGGTCTAACTATCTAGTGGTCTAACTAGCTAGCTGTCTAACTATCTAGTTGTCTAACTATCTATTTGTCTAACTGTCTAAATTTTTAACTATCTATTTGTCTGACCATCTAGTTGTCTAGTTGTCTAGATGTCTAGCTGTCTGGCTATCTAATTGTCTATTTATCTCCCAATGGACAGATTTATATCTTGTTGTCTTTAGATTCTGTAAGATGATGGATTAGCAAATATATTCTCTATCATTCAATCCTAACGCTGCACTGTAGTGTACACAGTAGACTCTACACAGCTAAAGTAAGAGAATATATGTAAAGGGTGAATAATAAACAGTAAGGATACAAAAATAATCCTTTTCCCGCTTTTTGACTTTGCGCAGAACTGAGTTTTTTTCCTCTCCGCCTTTATAAGAATTCCTTAATTCGAGGTATCTCAGATTTAAATTGATCAACCCAGGTTGATCTCCAGATTATGAGTTTGGAACACGGCGCTGCCGCACTGCTGTTACACGCTGTTTACCCGCATTTAGTCGATTTTACCGGGAAACTAAATTTTCTTGATAAAAGTCGACCCATTTAACTTAGAATCTCAAAACTAAGCTAAAAACATTCCCGTGGTTATCCCAAGTTCTCCAAAGTGGAAGAATGGAAGGAGGGGATGGTGGAAAGAGAGAAAGGGAAGTGTATAATTAGGGAATGAGGATGGGGAATAAAGAATGAAGGAGAAGAGGGTATAAGGAAGGAAGGAAGGAAAAGTGGTTATAAGGAAGGAAGGAAGGAGAAGTAGGCAGATAGAGGAGGAGTAGTTGAAGAAAAAGGGAGTTTTAAAACGAGTAATTGAGGAGAGGGAATAGATAGTTGAGGAGATGGAGGGAGTAGGGGGTATATGTGAGGGTGAAGGAGTGACTGAGGAGGGATTAGGGGGTATATGTGAGGGTGAATGAGTGACTGATGAGAGAGTAGTGGATAAGGAGGAGAGGTAAGGGAACGCATATAAAGAAAAGAATAGTTGAAGGAAGAAGGGTGAAGAATATATTTCTCTCTGGAACATTAGCGCTCCAAACAATTCAAACCAACAAACAAAAAATCTTAAATCATATATTTATCAAATTTAATTTTTTAAAAATAGCACGAGAATCACTTCCAGGAGGGGGGTTAATTATACTAAATCTAACCTGTATCCCTTCCTTAATAAATTGAAAGCAACTGCATAAGATCCCAGGTAATCATCTAATGTATCCACAAGCTTAGTTTTACTCTTCACCTGATACATAAGTATAAGCATTTTTTAATTCCCAAGATTTTAGAAAGGTTATTTTAATATGCTTTTCTAATTTTCTCTACAGCTAAACGTTACCAAACCATTCAATATTAGGCCCGTAGCTAGGAATTTCTAAAGTGCGGGCACAAAAGTTATAAATAGCATATATAAGTAAGAGGCGCGCCGCAGGAGAAAATTTTGTTTGACCTGATAAACTCAATAAGGTTAAAAATTAATCAATGTAGACTAAAAAAACAAAGAGCTGGTAATATACAAGAGTAGGCATTGGGACTTTAACGCAAAACCAGACCCCTCAATTGGTTCGATTAAGAAGCAACAGAATGTCGTTTGTTCTAAAATTTAAAAAGATTTAAGGGCTTTTTAAGCATATGTCTCACCAAAAACTTGCTTTTTTACGCAATATGCATTTAGAAATGCATATCTTAAAACAGATTGCAATGTAATTGGGTTGAAATTTGTTGCCACCTTTAAACAAGGGTTTTTACGGGCCTTGCTCACTTTACTAGGCTAAAATTCTATAAAACTATACATAATAATCACATCTAACAAATTTAGTTTAAAATATGTGATATTTTTCAAACAAATGAGATGCGTAACAAAATCACAATTTTAGCTTTATTTCAGCAGGAGAGCATCCTCTATCCTGTAAACGATTTTACAAATTTAAAGTTTTAATGTTGATGTTTTGAAATCAAAACCAATCTGCAACCAATGACGTCATCTACAAGTGTACGGAGCGTACACACTATTCAGATAAATCCCTAATTTCTTCTACCCTTAGAACGATCTTTGAAAAAAAAACTAAATTTTTCAACTTATCAAACATTATAGTTATACCATCGAGATATTAGTAATAGAGGGGGCATCTGGAATTTTAGACTTCTTGTTGTACAGCCACTGTACACAATGACCTGATCAGAAATTCTACCTGGGAGGATCATAATTCGTAGATCAGTGTTTTAAGACATTATATTGTTTGAAAGTGAAGCCTACAATATTCAAGCAAAGAAAACAAGGCCATATGATTTTTGTATAAAAATGAGACATGACAAATAGAGAAAAAAATAAAATCCTTCTCCTTAATAACATCTTGTTTCTTATAAAATTCTTAATACTTCTGAAATCTACATTGTGTATCAACTCTTAGGAATATAGGTTTCTGACTTTTAGAATGAAAAGCAATTCTGAACTAATAATAGATCTAAATTAGGTTAGACTTAATTTTAAAGTTACTAGGCTTTTAGGCCCTTCACGCCCATCTTCTATTTAAATTGTGAACATGTTCTTTTTGTTGAGTGCAGTAGGAGCTGCAAATTTTTTTGAGAAGTTCATATTTGTGCATTGCTTCATGATTGGCATTCTTTTAGAATTTCTGGATGTTGGGTTGTGAGAGTAGATATCACTTTAGCATAAATAATGAAGAACGTTTTTGTTGTAAAAAAGATTATGATTATTTCTGGTTTCCCTTATTTTTTTCTCAATTATTTCACAAACTTTTATTACTAAATCTTTCGACGGATAAATAAGTCCACCTCGGAAAGCTGTTCTTTGCTTAGATTCTCTCTTTGGTATGAATGGTCATGCCTTACGACCTGTAATGAGTTGTTTACACAACCCATTTCAAATATAGAGGGAACTGTGCCATTTCTTGGTATTTTGCTATCTTTGTTTCTATAACAATTTTTGTCAAAATGTTCACTGCATATAAAAATTGGGTGTTTTGTCTTCCAGATAACTTGTTCTATCCACTCTTTTCGTATGTTATGAAAAATTTCTGAACCCGAAACATCGTTGTTTACACAATTTTTGACACTACAATATCTCATTGTTGAAAAATATTAAAATTAACTGTCCACACAATACCGTACAAACAGATGTACTTAGGATTAAACCCACTGTACTCAATGATACCAACTCAGTCATAAGGAAACATTTTTCGACAAAATTCACTGTACAGTATAAACCTAGCCAGGCAAAATTAGGAGATTTATGCCCGCCCCCTGAGTTATACTTAAGAAAGATATTTTGCCTGTTTTCGTTCCCTTAACTGCTATTCAATAATTGAGGAGCTATTTGCATCAAAAGAAAACAAAAAGCGGATTTAAGAAGATTTAAGAAAAGCTCAAGTATGAAAATATTAAGCTTTCTCAAAACTCAAATTCGAAGTAGAAAAAAACCGCAAGCTTGAGGATAAGTACAAACAGCTTCTCCTAAACCTGGTCATATTTTGTATATAATTTCATATGCCTCAAAATGTTACTTTTTGCTGTTCGATGGTTCATTCAAATCATTAATCTAAGAAAAGAAGTGAAAAGGATAAGCTTCTCAAAATACTAAAAAGGTTAATATATTAATATATTTCACAAGACGGGAATAGAAATAAAAATTCCCAAATAATTTATTTCAGAAAGCACTAAACTTTTCTTTAATTTGAAGACAAAATAATCCTTTACACATAATATTAGAAACAAAAAAGATTTTATGTCAATTTTCTCCCTTTTTTTCCTTCTTTTCAATTTTTTCGTTTCCTTTTTCCTTTTTTCATTTTCTTCTTTTTTGTCTCAGAAAGTGTGCCCCCTGTGCCCCCCTTCCGGGGTAAAAGGGGGGCACATGGGGGGCCTGAAATTTACCATGAATAGACGAAAAATAAAAGAAGATGAGCAAATTTTGCGCTTCCCGCAATGTAAACTTAATTATAGAGTTAATCTTGTTTAGGGTTACTCTCAAAGATGAGACATTAATGAGGACCTGACACTCTTGAAATATGACGATCTGAATAAACTTGAATTTTTATGCATAATTCAGTTAATATTTATAATACTTAATAATCATTTTTTTGGTGATAGTAGAAGATATCTTGGCTTAGGGAAGCAATAGTTGTGAAAATCCATAGTAAAAAGTATGTTTTTTTTTAATTTACTCTTTATCAAATATGGTAAATTTATATGGGCTATAAATAATCTTTTCAAACAAAGCATTGAAACCATTATAAAAAAATATTTTTTCAAACAAAATGTCACAGATTGGTGTGCCATTCAGTTGAAGTATAGCTAAACATTAACCAACACCCATGTTACCTCCGACCCACAAATTTTTGTTTGTGTTCCAAACTTATTTTGAGAAGATATTCGTCTGCGGGTGTCTGAATTAATGCTGCATTCGTCTATAATTAGCATACAAAAGTACAGACATTTTGCCGGAAGGGAAAACGGGTGTGGGTCGGAGTAAGAGCATGCCGCAAATACTATTCTGTGCCGTCATTTGTGGGTCGGAGGTAAAACGGGTGTGGGTAGCCTTCCCTTCCAATGCAGAGTGCCAGGAATTAAAGAAAAAAGAATGAATAGATTCCATATAGTCTTCTTTGAAGTTTCATTCCTTGTGGGCAACCCTGTATACGCCCATGTACACGCGTATTTTTATCAATAATTAGTTATTGAGTTTAGATGACCTTGAAATATATGATTGCAAGATCTGGAACGAGAAGATTAAATGTCGTCTGTTCATCCCATATTGGATTAAACCCATTTCTTGGAACAGTTTTCGAATTCCACTCACAGCAATCCTTGGGAATAAAAGTCTTATATGGTGGAATGATAGATTTAATAATAGAATAAGATATTCGTCTTTTCTTCTATAAAACTATGAAATAATTAATATGTCATATACAGGGTGTCCCAATGAACATTAGATTTAATGGGCGACTTTTTTATATCGTCTTCGGTTTACGCGACAATTTTTGCATGAACACAATTATTGTAGTATTCCAGGTTAAACTACTGATATCGAAAACCCCGGTCTCGGGAGTTTCAAAATTTCAAAATTTCAAAGTTTAAATTTTTAAAAGACTTTTGTACTTTCTATGTCGGAATATCAGAAATCAAAGACGAGTTTCAAGTCGTCTCTTAATTCCCATGTTTATTGGGACACCCTGTATAGCAATCTTTATTTTCGTATAAATATTTTTATTTGTATCACGATAAGTAGAATTCAAACATCTAGAAGAAAAAAGAGGTTAAAAAGAAATTAAAAACAGGGGGATACCCCCCCCCCCTCCCTCCAATCGCATACTTTATACCTGAGGGTGTCCAACTATTTTTATTCTAACAAAAGGTTCAATTATATCTCCTGCCTAAAAAGAAATAATTTTATTTAAATTCATATTAATTGTGGATAAAAATCTAATCTTTTATTAGTAATTAAATGTGATATTTAGTAAAAAAATAAAAATAAAGTTTTTTTATTTTTTGAATAGCTATTGAAACAAAAGTTTTGAATTCCATGCATGTCATTCACAGGTTTCAAAGTCGAATTGGAAATTTCGCAAAAAGTTAATTTCTTGATTAAGATGAGATTAAAAGTTTGAAGAAGTGAACAGTCCCTTTTAATATTGTCTTGTCCACCTGCAGGTAGACAGTAGATATGTCTGTTACTAGAATAAACAGTCCCTTTTATTGTCTTATATATACCTGTCTGTTACTAGACTGAACAGTTCCTTTTAATATTGTCTTGTCTCCATGTCTGTTACTAGACTGAACAGTCTCTTTAAATATTGTCTTGTCTACCTGTCTGTTACTAGACTGAACAGTTCCTTTTATTGTCTTATATATACCTGTCTGTTACTAGACTGAACAGTCCCTTTTATTGTCTTATACACCTGTCTGTTACTAGACTGAACAGTTCCTTTTAATATTGTCTTGTCTACCTGTCTGTTACTAGACTGAACAGTCCCTTTTATTGTCTTATATACCTGTCTGTTACTAGACTGAACAGTTCGTTTTAATATTGTCTTGTCTACCTGTCTGTTTCTAGGCTAAACAGTTCCTTTAAATATTGTCTTTTCTACCTGTCCGTTACTAGACTGAACAGTTCCTTTAAATATTGTCTTGTCTACCTGTCTGTTACTAGGCTAAACAGTTCCTTTAAATATTGTCTTGACTACCTGTCCGTTACTAGACTGAACAGTTCCTTTAAATATTGTCTTGTCTACCTGTCTGTTACTAGACTGAACAGTTCCTTTAAATATTGTCTTGTCTACCTGTCTGTTACTAGACTGAACAGTCCCTTTAAATATTTTCTTGTCTCCATGTCTGAACAGTCTCTTTAAATATTGTCTTGTCTACCTGTCTGCTATTAGACTGAACAGTCCCTTTAAATATTGTCTTGTCTACCTGTCTGCTATTAGACTGAACAGTCCTTTAAATATTGTCTTGTCTACCTGTCTGTTACTAGACTATACAGTCTTTTTAAATATTGTCTTGTCTACCTGTCTATTACTAGACTGAACAGTCCTTTAAATATTGTCTTGTCTACCTGTCTGTTACTAGACTATACGGTCTTTTTAAATATTGTCTTGTCTACCTGTCTATTACTAGACTGAACAGTCTTTTAAATATTTTCTTGTCTACCTGTCTGTTATTAGGCTGAACAGTCCCTTTAAATATTGTCTTGTCTACCTGTCTGTCACTAGGGTTAGGGAGATGTTGACCGGAAATGAGCCGAATAGTTAGTTTCACACACTGTAACAAAGAAAAAGATATATAGTCAACAACAAAAAAAAACATTTGCAATAAATGTGTTTTACATCTACATTCAGAATTTCTTCTTGAAATATAATGAAAAATCGCTAATCAGAATTAAAACCTTCTGACAGATTTTAATTGTATCCATTTAAAACAAATAGTCATTTAAACTTGTTCACAATCAACAAACCAAAAAAATTAAACAAATTTGAGAAAAATCAGATACCATTAAAACCTTTCAGTCTTAACAAATTTCGGAGAAGTAAATATTTTCAATACTTTTTAAAACATATTTTGAATATTTCTCAAGACTGCCATTAATTTCTGATAATCGATTTATCGAATTACCTTCAAATTAATATTTTTTTCTATTCTTAAAGGTGAATAAGATGAAGAGGACAATGATGAGCTTGCACCAGGTGAAACAGAGGCTGGAATGTTATGAGAGACAGATTCTGAACCCGAGGCGGATATAGAATCAGCGGCGGATGATGAATCTAAAGCTGATGTTGATGCTGAGGCAGATGCAGGAATCCGCAAGAATTCTGGTTTAAGAACGTATCCACAGCCGCCATTTTGTTGGAACATTGCCCTGTTGTACAGGTTGTACGTGTCTGCCTAGAGTACAATGTGACTTATTGAACTGCGGAATAGAAAGACGACCGTTAGAATCAAAGATGGGCGGGGGAAATATTTCTATAATAATATAACCACCAAAAATATATCGACCAAACATTTAATCAATTGCTGGCCAAAAATATAACTTCTAAAAATATAACCATTCAAAACTATAACTAATCGAAAATATCACAATTTTCTGAACAAAAATATAACCATAATATTTTAAGTCGAAAATGGTTATATTTCTGGTAGTTTGTTCCAATTGGGCGGAGGCGGATTGGTATCAGGAATTAAAGTGTACTGCAAACCTGTTGGAAGTTTAGAGCAACCATCTGGCAACCAGAAACCCAGGGTAGGATAGGATCTAAATCATTAAAATACGTGAATGTGAGGCACGAAGCGCCCTGAGTTTCTAACTTTCTAAGATAGTATTTCTAAGATATAAGATAAACTATATGAGTAAGCCAGCAGACCAAGTAAAATATGAATAAATATGAATAAATATCGGAAACATTAAACAGATAAGAAACATCCGTCATCAGTGAACCCCCTTCTTTTTCCTCATCTAAAAACAGTCTATTAAGTTCATTCCAAGACTGAATGAGAGTAATCTTGTTTATCTTGGATATATTCTACTCAAGTTTCTCTTGTTAAACTTACCAAGATTAGATGAGAGTAATCTTGTTCCTCTTGGATATATTCTACTCAAGTTCCTCTTGTTGTACTCCACAAACTTTAAGGCTGTACTATCAGAAGTACAAAACTAAAAATTAAAAATAAATTATTTTCTATGCAGGGTGATCATTATTAACGAAGGTGTTAGGTACTTTCCCAAAGGATTTTTCCCAAGCAGCATTTTCCCAAGGATTTTTCCCAAGCAGCATTTTCCCAAGGGTATTTCCCAAGCAGCAACTTCCCAAAGGTTAGGTTATAACCTCTGAGGCGCCGCAGGATGCAATGAGGGCCGAGCGCTGCGGCTAGAATGAGCTAGGGGGCCTAGCGCCGAGGCTTGAACAGGCTGGGGTCAAGAGCTGCGGCTAGGACAGACTTGGTAAGTTGCCGCTTGGGAAATTGCACATTTAGGAAGTTGCCACTTGGGAAAAATCATTTTGGAAAGTACCAAACATCTCAACAAAGGATGAGACTTAAAAGACGACCTGAAACTCATAAAATATGTCGATTATACAATGTTGAATATTGAATATTGTCAGCCTATTTATTGACATGGCAACGAAAGAAATCAGTTTACAGTTCCAGAGAATCCTAAATATAAGGAAATCGACAGTATATATTCTGGACAGTCGTCTCTGAAGTCTCATTCTCTGTGAGTAACCCTGTATTTTGAATCATATTTTCCTGTGTCAGACCTGCTCTGTCTTCGACTCATCAAAAGAGCTCATTTCCCAATAATTTCTTTCTAAAATAATTAGATATAACAAAAAAGATAAAAAGGAGAAGTTCAGTGTTACCTTCTTCAAAATCTTTAAATTTTGATGCCTCGCAGTAATTTACAATATCGCTAATATATTAAACTTTTAAAACATTAATTTCAAAAATGTTTTACTTTTAGATTATTTAAAGGTATCATTTGTAAATAAAATTCCTTTGTAAAATGCTAGTTTAAACAAGGACCTGTATAGATAAGTTTTCACATGAGCAGGATTCAATCAAAATTGTTGCACACCAAAAACCAGCTTTTTATAAAGGAATGACAATTCGAAAAACTATTTTAAAAAGATCAATATAAAAAAGATAATTCCAATGTGAAAAATCTTTCTAAAAAGATAATAAAAATTATTGAAATTTCTTATTTTATTTTTAAAGTTCGGATTCCTGAGGAGTCTGGATTGGGTTGAGTTTGTAACCAGTGTTTCGTTGCTTATCGAGCATCGTCCAACAGTCGGACCTTTATCTTTCGTCAATGGGTCATCTTTCGAACCGATCTCTGTCTTAGTTTTCGAACTCGAGTCTTTTTCGTCAACTTTGGAGGATTGCGGTCCATAAGGTTCATTGCTAATATCCAAATCACGAGCTGAGAATAATTTTGCCTTAGCACTGAAATAAATATAAATTTTTATTATAGATTAATTAACAATATCAGATAAAACACTATATGTCGTCCTTTTAAGAATTAGGGGTTTTTCTTTTACAATAACCCTAAGGTAGAAGCCCAAAGGAATTATGCGTATGCTCTCTCTATGTCTTATAACTCAACGCCACATAAATCCTTCTAGCTTCTGCCTCAGAGCCCGCTCTCTCCATAGAAAATGGTCGTGTAGTTCACGGACTTTGGGGGACGATATGTTGGCCGCTATATGTCTGATGCTAAATTCTTATCTGATAGATAGATAATTCTTCGTACATTTGACGACCAAACTAGGAGACGTCAAGTTGTTGACCATTTTAGTTTAAAAAAGGAGCGGCCTCAGAGTTATTGTGAACGAAAAACTCCTAAATATTGAAAAGACGACATCTAGTGTTCTATCTGTTATTGTTAATTAATCTATGATATATATCTTTTAGATTTAGTCTAGGAACTGAATAAGCGTAAGTGACCCTCCTTGCACAGAGGGAAGTGTCTGATTTACAACAGTACCCTTTAAACCTTTTCCTGACAAGTGAGGGCAAAGAACTACGTGTTTTTATCTCTTAACTGGTGTTTAAGTGAAGTGTACGCGAGCTTACAGTGCTAGCTCATAACAGCTGACGTTTTCGAGATAGAAACCAACAATATCTTCCAAATCGTTACTTAGATAAAGGTTTTTAATTTACTGTGGTAGATCGAACACGAACTTTAGAAGGATCACTTGAAATTACGCCTATATACGGCCCTTTAAAGACGGAGAAAGCTTTAGATATGTATTGGGTAACGTATAACGTAAAGTTGCTTTGGAAATCCTCGTTACTGACCAATTTCCCTTTTATTTGGCACAAGTAAATGCTAAATTTAAATAACGAAAATATTTTTAAAAAATCAGTTTTACATAAAATCTTATAAATGAGCCGAGACGTTACGATTTCTAAATAATGATACTTTTTCTAAACCTTTTATGGTTTTCAATTTAAATAAACCGAATTTCAACATTTTTAAGTCTTTACCTTGTTTTTCTGTGGGGACGTACTGGTCCCTTCTATACAAAAACAAACTTATTTTAATTAAAGAAATATCTTTTTATTAATTAATTAATACAATTTTTTAATCATGCAATGTTGGAATTAAATTCAATATAAATTTTAAAAACTAAAAACTCAGACATTAAAATTTAATTTTTCCCAGGTTTTACTATCGATCATATATAAAATATTTAATATACTAACCTAACTGGTTCAGTCCTGTATCTGGGATATTTTTTACAAATCTTAAACATTTAAAAAATAAAATTTATTCAAAGAATAAAAATTCCGAGTTTAATGGAAATATCTGATACTGGAGTATCATAAAGAAATATCTGATACTGGAGTATCATAAAGAAGATGATATTTAATTCATATTTGATCAGACAAAGCTAGACTAGAAAATTATTGTTTGAGGCGAGTATTCTGTTCATTTTCTCTAATATTTTGCTTCCCTTATTCGATAGTTTTTGTAATGCGGATTTTGTTAGAACTTCCGGTTCTTCGTCGATACTTCCGGTAGCAGTCAGACGAATCTTCTTCGCTTTTACCAGAATCTTGAAATAAATATTTTATTGTATTTTATGGTTTTTGTCCAGGATACCATTGAATAAAACCAGTTTTCAAATATGCTGAATTTTCATGTTTGGCGGATTTCGGTTTTGTTTTTATTTAAACCAAGAAAACTGAATTTAGAAGCTTCGAAAAAACATTTACCCTGAAATGACTTGAGGAAAAATAATCCAAAAAATGGTTGCAGATAACAATTTTTAGATCAGTCCTAGTTTAAAAATATTATCTATATAATAAAGTTCTTCGCTCATATATATTTGTCAGCTATAGCTAGCTGGCAAAACGGCTGGACCGAATGGGCTGACAATTTTTGAGGGAACCCATGAGTACAGGTACCCTGGTGGTAATATAGGCTAAAAAATTCCATTTTTTTAATCGATTTTTTCCTCAAAATTAGTTTTCTTTAAGGGGGGGGGGGGTCACAAAATTTACTGTAAAAATTAAATAGTTTTAAATATCAACAGCTTTCCGTCCAGCGGAACAAGCAAATAGTATTTTGGGTTCAATGTTTTTTTTTTGTTTACTTTGAATTTAAGATCTTCTGGTGATGGTAGCATTGTTCTATTCTTATCCACCGGGTCTGTGTACAACATATCTCCAAGTATTTCCTAAATAATATATGTATATATATATATATATATACTGGGTTACCAACCAAGAATAAGACTGTAAAGACGACTTGACCTGAAACATGACAATTTTAAGGTAAAATTAAGTCTTTTGCCTTAGACTTTCATATCATCTTTTAATGGCTTATTTGATGATTTGTCAGAGAACAAACAAGTTTACAGTTGCAGGGAATCATGAATGTAAGGAAACAGACAGTAATAATTCCGTACAGTCGTCTCTGAGTCTGAAGTCTCAAACTTTGTGGGTAACCCTGTTTATCTACATAATAACAATAATTGATAAAAGAATTTAGAAGTATCTGTTTTGATATTTCAAACTGTAACTGCTTTATCTAGCAGAATTCATAGTTTAAACTATCAAAGGTCTACGGCATCGGATTGTAAAGATTTAAGGTATTACATATGAATGTATTTCTAATATTTCTAGATAATCCTGTATAAAGTAAACATATTCCTATTAATTCTAGATCACCCTGTATAGAGTAAACATATTCCTATTATTTCAAGATCACTCTGTACAAAGTAAACATATTCCTATTATTTCAAGATCACGCTGTATAGAGTAAACATATTCCTATTATTTCAAGATCACTCTGTATAAAGTAAACATATTCCTATTATTTCAAGATCACGCTGTATAGAGTAAACATATTCCTATTATATCAAGATCACCTATTAAAAAAGAAAACTACCTTCATAAGGTTTGCCATGAGATCTTGTTGTTCCTTGCTACAATGGTTCTCTATAGAGAGAATAAGAGGATACACAGAATTCTAGTAATACAAAATGTAACAGAGAATGCGGTAGATTGATAAATAGGGAAATAGACATAAAAGCAGATGGGAAGATTGATAAATAGGTAGGTAGATAGATAGATAGAAAGGCAGATGGGAAGATTGATATGTAGGTAGGTAGATAGATAGATAGAAAGGCAGATGGGAAGATTGATAAATAGGTAGGTAGATAGATAGATAGAAAAGCAGATGGGAAGATTGATAAATAGGTAGGTAGATAGATAGATAGAAAGGCAGATGGGAAGATTGATAAATAGGTAGGTAGAAGGATAAGTAGAAAGGTTGAAAGGTAGTATAGACTATAGATATTAGATATATAGGTTAGTTAAATAAACTGCTTAAGAATTGAACCTTGAACGCGTAGGGTTTAATGGCATCTATGAGTACATCACTGAGAAGAAGTTTAGAGGTTAAAGTCCATCCATGATATATTACAGGCTCTCCATCAGGTCCATCCCAGCAGTCCAACTAAACATATACTAGTCCATCCTAGCAGTCCATCTAAACATATACTAGTCCATCCCAGCAGTCCAACTAAACATATTCTAGTCCATCCTAGCAGTCCAACTAGACATACACTAGTCCATCCTAGCAGTCCAACTAAACATATACTAGTCCATCCTAGCAGTCCAACTAAACATATACTAGTCCACTAAACATATACTAGTCCATCCTAGCAGTCCAACTAAACATATACTAGTCCATCCCAGCAGTCCAACTAAACATATACTAGTCCATCCTAGAAGTCCAACTAAACATATACTAGTCCATCC